TTGAAATTCAAAAAACCAATTAAATTACAACTTTTATTAGGGTTAGCATGCAATGTGAACAACATAAAAATGTATATATTCCTGAGAAAATATGTTGACAAATCAAGAAATTTCAAAATTACATAGTTCCTCAGAATACAAATAAGTAGTATTAAACCATTTCTTATGGAAATAAATAGTATTAAACTCTCCTTGTACAAATAGTGTATATAAAAAAATGCTGAAGTTTTATTGTACTCCTATATTCAAGTCACTATTCACAAATATATGATGATTACCACAATACTGCAAAATTTAACTAAAAAAAATGAAAGTGTGTGTTGTGGGTTACCTTGGGTCTGACCCAACCCCAACACAAATGTATCCTTATAACAGACTATGGATTGAAAATCCACTAAGCAAGTTATTTACAACAATTATCAAAGAAGGTTTCTATAAAATAGGGCATTATAAGCAGTCATCACAGAGAACACTTATTGAGGAATGAGATGCCCATACATGCTTACCACAATGATGTTATATGTGATCAGACAAGATGATACTGTACAACTTTGATGGATTATCCTCTATAACAGCCTATATAGTGAAATAAACATTTAGAAATTTGTTTCGTATGCTATAGGGCAAACTGCATGTATAGTGATGGTCACTGATAATATGAGACCCCATATAAATATTAGATTATAGCTATGTAGTCCGTCTGTCTGCTTCGAAAACAATAATGTCATATTGGTCCAGAGTTTCTGCTTGAGAATTACATGAATTGATATAAATTTGTAATGATTATGTAAAAAGATATATATCCAAGAAAATTGTTAGGGTCGATGTGGATCTTGGGTGTGCTGATGAGGGTTAAACATTTTTGCACATCAGAACAAAAGAAATTATCTGTTTCAATTAAAATTTTATGCAGAACTTTATTTCTAATTATATAAAAGATCAAATAAGAATAAACTAAATAAATATATTATTTACAATATGTCTGTAAATGTGATCCATCCTCTCTTCTTTACATCATAGAAACTTACTCTTATTATACACTAGCAACATATATTAATGAATAACTTCAGAATATAAATGTAAGTGTAAAGGAGGAACAGTAGCTTGATTTTAATTAGGGACTAATCAATATCTTAAAAATCATAAGTCCATATCTGAAGTTGTTGCTTTTTCAGGCCTAACACCCAATATCCTAGAACATTAAAATTGTGTCAGTCGAAACATTTCAAATACTCTAAGAACTTAATTGAAGATTAATAGACAACATGAGTTATCAAGATATAGTGTACTGTCTTAAAAACTAAAATATCAATATCATATCTGGACAACATGAGACAGTTTGGTCCTTTAAGGTTGTCCATACACACTAAACTGTGAGAAAAAGAAATCACCTTTTATTTTTTTATGAAGTAATCAATATCCTTAAAGTCTTATACTGTAAGATATCAGCCTCTACTACTTCCAATGGCAAGTCATCCTATATGCTACACATTCTAGAAAATTGTCTTTATTGGAGTCTTGACAATCTTTTCTGAATGTTAATTTTGTTTTCTCTCTTCCAATTGTTGTCAAAATACAACACAAAGAAATTGGAGGTCTTTATCATATTGATTGCCTGCATAATATTGGAAGCTTCGATAAAATCACCTTTTACCCTTATTTTCTAAATAAAAAGCAATTTGAATCTTAACCTGTCATCCATAAGATAACCCCTTCATTCCTGAAATCATACTTTTAACTTTCCACTAAACACTTACCAATAAGTCAGTTTCCTTTCCTAGGTTAAGAGACCAAAACTCTACATAATATCCTTAGTTGGGCCAAGGTAGTGATTTGTCTAGAGAGATGAGTATGCTCAAAGAATTAAGAACATTAAAAATCTATTTGTATTTAATGTATATTGATAAGTTTGAAACTTTTAAAATCTTCAAAACTATTATCATCATACATCATTCTATAGATAGTTTGGCCTCTTCTTAGTAGACTGACCCAAATCATTGCAAAGCTTTAAAAACTGCTTGAGGCTGAAATCTCCATATGTACTTGTAAAACTTCATGACTTTCGAGATCTGATATCCTATATACACATCTGTAGTGCAAAACTCCTAATGTACATGTACCTTATACTTGTTCCACATGTATATTACTGGTAGGTTCTGAGTAAGAAACACCTGTTTAATACAGTAATTGTATGTGTACATCATATGAATTGATTGCTTGAGAGTAGCAAGAACTGTAACAATCATTTTCAGAACTTCAGTTTGGCAGTTTTCTTACCAGGAGGAAAATTATATTTGTACAACAATACACAAATGCCATTTCCTTTATTAAACTTTTGATTATAGCTTTTTATGTTTTATGGTTAAATAGAAAATTTACTTTTGCTTCAAGGTTATGAAAACATGTTTACATTTATACCATCAAACTGAAAACTAGTCTATAATTCGATTTAAGCAAGTGTGTGACTTACATGTCAGGTTTAGTAAGTATGCTACATGTGACAACTTACTTGTATGAAGATGAAAGTGTTGGACACCAAAGTTTGTTTGAAATTCTTATATGTCCGTAGCTTTTATCATTTAATATTTTGAATATAGTAAATTCAATTCTCAAACTAACTGATATTAAAAATTTGGAGCAGTATTGAATTTCAAATACAATTTTCATAGGTTTTAATAGTACCAATTAGCAGGCAAATATATATATATTGTAGTTTTTTTTTCAGTAGCAACAAAACTTAGAAAGTGTTTTATTATATAATAGGCATTATATTTGCATGTAGAATTAAAATTATAAGAAACAGGTGTTGCTTTCAGTGCTCTCTTAGGATGTAGTTGTTGCCATTTTTTAAGTAAAAATCTCTAAAATGTCACGTTAATGCGTACACCAACTGTGTAAAAATCTTGTAAAGTACTATACTAAAAGTGTAATTTTTTTAATGATATGTCAAAATGGAGATCTTTTTAGCTCATTTAAAAGTTTTATTAATTATATTAAAAAGTACAACCTTTCTAACAATCACACTGTTTAACTTAGTTTTTTCAAATATTTGTTTATGGAATTTGGACAGATTTTTTTATACTAAATACAAGTACAGGAGCCAAATAATTTTGTATACTGTTGTAATATAGTTCTTTCTTTCTGGTTTCATTTAAAGTATCTGGTGAATATAATTCATCATCCAATCTGGTAACAACCACAAATTAGTTTATTTCCACTTCTAACATTATTAAAGGCTGTTGTAACTTGTAGGCTTAAGTTTACAGCTACACTAACTTACTACACAACATAAACACCAGTTAACTTACTTGTACAGTGTAGTGTGATAAATACTGACAACAACTCTATTCTGAAATAGCACTTGTTTTGTTTTTCTATCTCAACTATCTACTACTTCTAGGCTTCACTAACACATTTATTTAACTAAGCTTTGTTGTAGAAAGTTCTAGGACTAGTGGGAACTTAATGCCATATTACATCATCAGAAATCTGTAGCTCATCCTAACTAACAAGCAAATTGCAACATGAAAAGTTTAGCTAATGTTCTGTACTTGTCAGTGGTTATCTTATCAGCTGTTATGTTGCAGCTAGTATAGTGTAAGCATCAGAAGAAGGCTTAAGACCAAACTTTGTGGTACATATAAAATCTTAGTTGTTATTATTTCATCGAGAATGTTGATCACTGAATATTTATCTTGAAACATCAAACTGTACTCTCAGGAAGGCACTGTACAATGTAATAGAATAGATGTTAAATTCTAAAAACGAAAAAGTTGTATGTTGGTGTATGCAAGTGTTCCAAGTTTTAAAAAAATTGTAAAGTTAAGAGCATATTTTACTCTGTGACTTAAATGTTATTTTTGTTTTTAAAAAAAGGGAGGGTCAATTTTTATTATTCTGACAAGTTACATTATACTTCTCTACTGTTAATATTTATTCAATCAGTGCAGTAAGTGCTCTGTTTACATTTGCCAAGGTTGAACTGTGTTATCTTATTCTTTATCTTCAAATACTTTTTGTTCTATTTTGATTCTCTCTCTCTCTTTTTTATAGTTAAATAATAATGTTTATTTTGTGAAATGTAATAGCATTTCATTAATCAAGATTTCATCATTTAGGAAACTGTGTTTCAGTTTCCAGATCATCTCGTTTATTTTTCCTTGCTATTGAAGGACATTGTTCAAAACAGTGGTAAATAAGAAAGCATTACAAATTTCTTTTTTGTGTGTGTACTTTCTGTGCTGTATTGCCTTTAATGTGGAGTAACAAACTATAATAGTGTTCAAAATGCAGGATGTGTTTTAATTTCCTTAAAAAATCATGATAAAGGCAGTCTCTTTATGTTATTTGAAAAACGTGTTTTAATATATTGAAATTCTTTACATCTGTAGTATTTTTATACCTTTTTTGTTATGCTGCAGCTCATATTTGTTACTGACTAACATTATTTAAGAAATTGTCCTTATTTAAACTTTGAACTTATGTTTTGTAAGAACCATTTAATATGAATTCAATGTACACAGTTAAAGTATGTAAGCATTACAACATTTACATAATGTCTGATCTTAGTTTGTATAAAGTTTTTGCCCTTCTGGTACCATGTTAATGTATGAATTATGTTCTTAACATGTATGTAGTCACCCTAATAGACTATATACTTATTCTGTAGTTTAGTTTACTAACTATAAAACACACTTGTATAGAAAATATTCAAACACAACTTTTATATATTAAACAAATACAATGTACAAGAAAAGTGAATACAGTGTTTATTGAGTCAAATGAAATATTAGCAGGTTTAAATAAATAAAAAATAAAAAAACTTCATTTTAATTAAATATTTGTTCAGTGAAGATTACTGCAATTTTCTAAGAGTGTTATTTTTTATAATTTGAGCATTGTCAAATGAGCCAACTTTAATTTTAGCAGAAATTGATAACTGTGTTATTGGTTATTAATTTGATTATAAGTAATTTTGTTAATTCTTTCCACTTTCATAGACCGTCGAGTCCAGGAATGGCCACTAATGCAAAGCCCAGGACCCACCATCACCATTTGTCTCTCTTATGTTTACTTTGTTAAAGTTTTAGGGCCAGCAATTATGAAGAATAGAGAACCTTTGAACATGCGCTGGCTGATGGTGGCATACAATTTTTTTATGGTTTACGTCAGTGTTTACATCTTTCTTAGGGTAAGAAAAGTGTAATTATATATATATATATATATATATATATATACTACCTAATAGATATAACTAACTAGTAGTATGACTAAATAGT